CCACCACCACCACAGAGTGGGATTAAAGTGCCAAAAAACTTTCGGCAGCGGTGACAAAGATGGAAATCTATGTAGATGTAGATTTAAATGCATATACACTTCTGTGCGTTTCTGCCCTCTGCATTAATTTGATCTAATTCTTGGGGGTTTTTTTTGTTTGTTTGTTTGTTTTTTCAATCAGTTCTTTATTTTATTTTATTTTTACTCTCACCTCACTTGGTGTGGTGCTTCCTACTGCACACATTTCATTTTTGCTATTCCCAAGGCTGCAATGAACAATATCAATAAGAATAATAATTTCATCTATGATCATTTGTGGGTTGTACCTGATGATCTTGTCTTTTGTGAACCACCAGTTTTATCCCAAACAGCCAGTAACATGTTTTGGCCAGTTGTCAGTCTTTGCACTATTAAGCTTTTACATCTGGTTTTGCAGCATACCAGGCTCAACTACAGTTAGGACAAGATCCATCAAATGACTGTCCAGACCGTGACCGGACAATACGCACTGTGGTCCAGAAAACAGGAAGCAACCAGCCTATACTGGGAACAGAGTACCAGGAACGGAAGATTTCCGTCCAAAACCGTGAGTTCACCCCAAGATGAGCCTAAATGTGATTTGGGTTTTTTTTGTTTTGTTTTGGGTTTTGTTTTTGTTTTTTTAAGCTGAAGCACCTGTATAAATCTTTTAAATAGATGCTTGGTACAATATGAATTGGTAGTTTTGTTCAAATAACTGTGAACTTTTTTTTTTTTTTTGGTTGTTCTTCCTTCATTTTCATTATGTGATCATTTTTGCAGAAATAAAGGATTAATAGTATGTTATCCCGATGGCCTTTTAATTTGTAGAGATGGAAGTGAATTGATGAATGCTGTCCAGTTCTTTGAGCTTCTGAAATTAGGGCACAACAGAGGAAGTTGAATTTAATCATGTATGTTTGCATTGTCTGGACAGAGGCAGATCTGGTGATCAATGAGGTGATGTGGTGGGACAACGGGGTGTATATCTGCAATGTTAATGCTCCTGGAGACACCAGTGGGATCACTTCCAAAGAAGTCAAACTCATTGTCTACAGTAAGAAAGAAAATATGAATGCATAAGATTAAACACAGCAGAAGCTGCAGCTTCTGTTAATGTTATTAATGCTGTAACATACGCAAAAACCTAGTCTGCTTCTTAAGACACAGAACACAGAGCGTCTCCCTTTTTCTTTGTCTTCCTACAGACTGGTTGACTGCGTTGCTCATCATCATCGGTGCCCTCCTTCTCATCATGCTCTTATGCATCTGCTGCTGCCAGTGCTGCCCTCAGATATGCTGCTGCTATGTCCGCTGTCCCTGCTGCCCACAGAGGTGCTGCTGTCCTGAGAAAGGTAAAAGCTTTCATTTAAGGGCGCTTCAACAACAGAAGTCAAGGAATAAGGCAGTTTGGGAGTTGAGGAGGAAAAAAACCAAGCATGAAGGAAGGAAGAATATTTCATTGCCTGTATATCTAGTGAATGTTTGATTGCTGTTTCCATTGCTCCACTCAGTTTGGCCATTAACAGATCCTTTCTGCAGGCCTTCATTTGTGTTTGAAAGTACCTATTGCTAATAGCCTTAGTGAAATCAAACATGTGACCTTATCATGCTGCAAATAAAAAGCCCATATACTTTGAGATAGCCTCACTGAATCTGTACATACTAGAAATTGTTGTTCTCACGTTTTAGCTGTGATGCAGCATCGTATGGTGAAGCAGGCTCAGAAGGCCATGAATCCTTGGTTAGGAGGACAACCAATATATGCACCACTGAGCTCCGCCCCCAGCCAGATGAACCCAATGCTCTACGCTGGTACATGCACACATTAATCTGCACATATTAAAGTGACAGACTTAAATAGGTTTTAATTTGCTGTTTCCTTAAATTTTCTAAATGCTTTTCTTTCTTTTCTTTTTTGTCTTCAGGGTCTGTTGCAGGGAGCAGCATCCCTTTAAAGACTATGCCTCTCCCTCCTCCTCAGTCTTCAGCTTACAGCATGCCCCCTCCCAGTGTCCAAGGTAACCGCACGCCAGCCAATAACAATCAC